GCACCAGTATGGCGTGGTGGCAGGAGAAGGGGCAGGAGGAGCGGCGAGAGCCCCTCACCCCCCCCTGCCACTCCTGCTTAAAGTAAGCGTGCCCTTAACTAACAAAGGGTATGTTCGTATTGCTTGCTACAAGCAGACACAAGAAAATGCTGTCTGTATTTCTGACCCAGCTGGAAACAGGGGTTACACCTATTTAAGTAAATTAAAGAGTGCCCAGGAGCACTCCCACATGCTGGAGCCAGATCATCCTGCTCAGGGTGGGAGGGTGCTCCTGGTGCACTTGCGTCCTATGCCAGCTCCACCGCAGAGTCCCCAGCACCCCAAGGCAGTGCTGCAGGGACCTCTCCCAGGACAGAAGCTGCCATGGGGTCACCCTGTTTTGGAGACTGAGAGAGTGATCCCTCCGGCTTGTTTCACATACAGTATTCCTGAGCATGTTTAATTTACTAGTGTAACTTTGGCCAAAGTCAGCTCTGAACCAGAACTCATGTAGCTGTACTTAGGCAGTGCTTGAGCCCAAGCTAATAAAACCTGCTGAGGGGCAGGATATATTAGCTCGGGTTCAGTGCTGTGCTAACATGGCTATATGGCTTCCAGATGGCTCAGAATTTAGGCAGAGCTATTGCCTGCCAAAGCCCATATATATATCAATATAAATATATATATCCTAAATTCCCCCACTGTAAGGACACTAATGAAGGTGAACTCACTCCTGATACTTTGCCTTGTAAATACCAGATCCACCAAGAGACTTAAATGTAACAACCCAGCAGCATCCTCCAGAGTACCTGACAGCTACCATGGTCATGTAAGTCAGGTGCCAAGGTTGACTGGGGGCAACCTTGGGAGGAGATTTAGTGTTGTAAAGGTGAGGCCAAGGCCATGTAAAGTATGCAGCCAACTACCTGAAGAAGCCAGGGTGCTTCCACAGGTTGCTGTGGCTTGAAAGCGAGCCAGCCACCCTCTGTGACACAGAGAATGTGGCCATGCTGCCTTTCTGAAGGCTTCATAGGAGAAAGAGACCTTGGAAGGCCCAGGCTGAAAGGAAGAGAGGCTAAAAAAGAGCAAGTGTGTCTCTTAATGTCTCCCCCACCATCGCTGGAGAAGGACCTCACCAATCCTTCCTGCAGCATGTAGGGTTAGGAGCCAAACCCCCTTCCAGGGGACACACGTCAGAGTGTACCCAAATACGTGCTGGAGAGAGAATTGGCCTTCCCCAGGCTTCACTTGGATCAGGGAACCTATTTCTTTCAAGTTTCCCTATGCTCTGAAGAAAAAAAAAAAAAAAAACTGAAGAAAAAGTCAGACTCAGGGGGCTGAGG